GTGTGTGTGTGTGTGTGTGTGTGTGTGTGTGTGTGTGTGTGTTTCAGGTGGCGAGTCTGCAGTATAAAAAGTTTCTGGCCTTTCCGTGGATCCTCACCGTCACGTGGCCCATGGACACAGTCAGTACAACACAACTCCTTCCTGCACTTTATCTCCTCTCTAACTTACAAAGTAGTTTCCTCTCCGTGTTCCTCCCCCTCTCTGCTGTAGGACAGTGTGGAGTATCCCCTCATTCAGTCGGGTCCGTACGGTCGCTGGTTCCACTCCGAGTTCTGTGACTTTGTGTCGGTGCTGGTGGCTCAGTGTCAGCACAGCATCATCTTCGACAGTTACCTGATGAACACGCTGATCTCGCTGCTCACAGAGCTGTCGAACTCTTACATACGAGCCTTCAGACACACCTGTACGCTCGCAGGTGAGGGTCCGAAAACACATCAGACTCACACACACAGGTATTGAATAAACACATTTTTTCTCGTTTTCTCTAATAAGCGGTGAAGCTGTTGAGCGCTCTGGTGGGCGTGGCTCTGAGCCTGAGTGTCGGGATTGAAAACAGTCAGAAACTGTACAAGGTGCAGAAGACGAAGACCACGCGACAGAAGCTCACGCCACAGCTGGAGAGAATCCAGAAGAAGATCACAGAGGTGAGACATGTCACCTTGTGCCTGACTGTGAAGACAGAAGGTTTTAAACTTTGCTCTGTGTGAACACGTCCCCCTCTCTTCTTCCCCTTGCTCGTCCAGCTGCAGGGGAAGAGGGTGGAGATAGAGAGCATGATGGACGTCGTCTTTAAAGGTGTTTTTCTCAAGAGATATCGGTAAATTAACTTTACTGACTGATGCTGGTCATAGCTGAACGTTTAATGTGCATCATCGTCACTATTGAGTCAGCGTGTCTGTCGGTGTGTGTGTGTGTGTTTCCGTGCAGCGATGTGCTTCCGGAAATTCGCTCCATCTGTGTGGAGGAGTTGGGTGTGTGGATGAAGCTCTACAGTTCCACATTCCTCAACGACACCTACCTCAAATACATGGGCTGGATGATGTACGACAAAGTAAATAACCGCAAAGACAAAGTGCACGATGCAAAATAGTGTGATCCAAACAATAGTTTTTAATCTGGTATTCTCTGTGTTTATAAACCTAATGTGCTGATGTCATCGTCTTTCTTTCTTTCTTTCAGATTCCAGATGTGCGTCTCAAGTGTGTGTTAAGTTTGCAGGGTTTGTTTGGAGATCCTCTGCTTCTCCCCAAACTTGACCTGTTCACCAGCCGCTTCAAGGTAACTGAACCTGCTTAAAGTGGCATCAGTGGGGGGGGGGGGGGGAAAAAACAAGACCAGAACCTCCTCTACTCCCACCACCCCCTCGACAGTGTCGCGCTCCGTTTCCCCGGTGAACACAGCACACAACTCACATCTCCCT